AGTATTTTTTTGCGTAGACAGCTCGATGATAGCTTACATAGTTCCTCCAACTTCACACTCCATACAGTAGAATTGTTTTGATATTTCAATTGAGTTCCAGATGTTTCTTCATTTAAACAAACAAAACTATCATTTAAATTTTCTAATTGCATGTTATATATATACCGTTTTTTCTCTTAACAAAACCACAATACAGAAGTATAAACGTAGTGTTAGCATCATTAGTTTAGTACAAATTTGCATGTACAATTATTCTTAACTGTTTCTTACTTCTATTGAGGTAAGAAACGAAAAAAAAAGAAACACTTTTTGAAAAAAATTATCATCCTAATTTAAAAGTAGTGTGCTATTTTTTCTCTTAGATTTCATTCATTCAGTTTTTATTTTTATTATATCATCTCTTTACACGCAATGATTGTTGAATGTGTTGTTTTGTAAGAGAGTACATGTCATTTTATCAAACTGTTTGTTAGTTAGAACAATGCAACAATGTAGTTAGTTGATCTGAGTGATTTGCAGCTAGACATGCCGTACACACACACACACACTAGTCACATACACTGATATATATATATATATATATATATATATATATATATATATATATATGCATTACGGGGTTGTGAAGATTGTTAAGTTACACATTTTTGAAACCATGAATCGACTAATGTTAGAAACCTGGAAGCACTGGACGGCCGTTTCATCCTGGTATGGGACTCATCACCAATGCACATCCACGACTCCTGCACCCCCCAGGACCTTCGCTATTGTGCGCGAATGCCCTAACCGTTAGACCACTGAGCCGGTATCCAACGGTGTTAATGTGTAACTTGATCAAATTAACGGAGTTGCTCAACCTCATACACAGTCTTCGGTAGACATTGCCTACACCCGAACAGATTGAACTTGAGTGGTCACGTCTTCCCTCTAGAACTCGGAGAAGATTCCTCACGAAGCTAGTCACTAGTGAGAACAGGTAATTTGCATTACGGGGTTGTGAAGATTGTTAAGTTACACATTTTTGAAACCATGAATCGACCAATGTCAGACCACCATTATATATATATACGTACACAAGTCAAAGCAATGTTGAGATGAAAACTGAGCCAAAGGTCAATGATATATAGAAGTTCAGATAGACATATGTCTAATATGCCGATTGATCGATTGGTTTTGCATAAATTCTGAAGTATATTCAGTATCATCATAGGTAGTTGACAAGTGAATTAAGAAAAGTATTGAGAGTAGAAGTGTTCCCGCGCACATGACCAATGAATGATCCTGGATGTGATTACTGTGAGTAGCGGGAGTCGTGGATGCACACTGCTAAAGAGTGCCATACCAGGACGAAACAGCCGTATTTCAATGCTTCCAGGTTTCTAATGGTGGTCTAACAATGATTGATTGGTGAAATCAAATAAATAGCTCAACATCCTTCACAAACCCAATCCTTGTATATAATAATTGAATATATAAATTCATTTGTTAATGCCGAATCGGTCAAGGAAGAGACAGCTGCATCAAACATTTTGGTGGTGTTTCGTTCTCTGAGCTGGTTGTTTTGGTTGTGGAGCTTTCATTGTTCTTCCACTGAACAACATCATCAGCACAAACTTCAGATAGATGTGAAGCATTCGAATTTCTCCACGTTTTACCTGTAGCTTGTTCTGTTAACCTCGATCTTGATTGGTTGCTGTTGACCTATTCCAAATGGAATAGGTGTGGCACTTCAATCACTTCAATCAATCCTATGTAGACCAAAGGACAAAATGACAAAGGAAGAAAAACCAAATAACATCTACAAAATAAATTATTCAAACTGTGAAAAACACTACATAGGACAAAGTGGACGACCTCTTCAGCTCCGTTTACGTGAACACCAATTAGCAGTCAAACGTCACGACAACGCTTCGCTTATATCAATACACACCGACAATTATGGACACACATTTGATTGGAACAATGTGGAAATACTGGGTAGGCGGAGGACAAAGAACACTAGAGAATTTTCAGAAGCTTGGCGCTCAGGCCAATCAGCAATCAACAAACACATCGATATTGACCCAATTTATCAACCAATCAGGAAAATCATAGGTGACACAAGATCAAGAAACAGATCAAAAGGGGGATGCAATCAAAACAAAGTTGCAAACAACGACAGGTCAAAGGTCAACAGCAACCAATCAAGATCGAGGTTAGCAGAACAAGCTACAGGTCAAACGTGGAGAAATTCGAATGCTTCGCTTTTTCTATCTGAAGTTTGTGCTGATGATGATGTTGTTCATAAGAAGAACAATGAAAGCTCCACAACCAAAACAACCAGCTCAGAGAACCAAACACCACCACCACAATCATCCACCTGAGCTACAAGTTTTCTCCACCATCTCAGCATCACAAATGTCTTATGAATACAAAGATTTTGTGAATGTTAGCTCAAATTAACATTGCATCTAGTATGTGTAAGTAAGACACGAGAGCGAACCCTATAAAGAAACTAGTAGGTGTATGATAAATTTATCTTAAATGACCTCTATCGATCAAGTGTAATAGAACAAAGTTGAGTAGTGTCTTTATATCATGCTCTTTCTTCACACAATGAAGGGAGATATTCGAAAAACTCATTGGTTCAGTTGACAGTTTCTGCAGACCGATTTATAGGTACATAAGTATGTCACGAAACAAGGTAACTTTTATCCTTTGACTGAGGAGCCGATGTAGTTCGACTACTAGATGCAATAAACATACTACTCTTTGCCACTTAAGTCAGTCTATCTTAGATTACGTCACTAGCGATGACTCCTTTGAATTGTAACTTCAGGAAGAAAGCTTTCTTACTTATTTTTCAGTTCATTATGTACAAGTATTTCTTCGGAAAAACATATAAGTAATGCATTTCAATCAACATGTTATGTATAAGTTGCAGCTCTTCGTTTATACTGTCAGCTTCCTAGCTCTACTAGCAAGACACCTAACTGGGTTTCTCATGTAATGGATAAGTACAAAGTTACTGAAATGTGTGTAATGTGTTGACAACGACATAGTTACTTCCACCGATAGAGTCATTTACTTCCCTGTTTAAAAAAAACATTGAGCAATCGCAATTCATTATCAAGTCCCTCCTCACACGTAAATCTAATTGCTGTGTGTATACTGTTAAACGGCTCCAAAATGTCTTCTTTAATACAGAGTATCATCAATGTAACGACAATAAAAGTCGAACTTATCAATAACCTACTTAAGAGGTCCCTTTTTCAAGTTTTACCAGAAAGAAATCTGATTTGCAATTATGAATCGATCATTGTTAGTGTTAGGATATTCATCCAATATCCTAAGAGAATTATTGGTCAATTCCTATTGGTTATATATTACTACTGGTCAATTATATGGTCGTCCTAGATATCAATGTCACGTGCTCCAATGTTGTTTCTTATTGGTTGTCCTGACTATCAATGTCACAGACTTCGATGCTGTTTCCTATTCGACCAAAATATATAAATACGCATCATCTGTAACGTTTTATGACCACGACCAGAACCAGTACCTGGTCCCGGATCCCTAGTCAGGGATCCTGATTCTTTTCTGGATTCGGACCTCGTACTTTCTGGATGCTTGTAGAATACAAGTTCGACTTCATATCACGTTTTCTTATTTTTTACTATAAATGGGGTTTGGGATAATCGGATTTGAGTAGCATGTCGTGTCGCCGGATCCTAGATCCTCGCTCTCGTTTTCCGACTAAGGGGTAAACTCGTAATAGTTCAAGCATATCAAGTTGACGTGTTTTCGTACAAGCGTAACAGTTAGACCTTCATGAGAAACCTGGAATCACTGAATAGCTGTCTCGTCCTACTATAGGAGAAATCAGTGGCACTGAACATCTACAACCCTACGGGCAGTAATCGAACCCAAGATGCGCGAACGTCTATCTTTTTGATTTCAAATGAAAGACAAGATTTATTCTGTGGAAAACAGTTCATTTATACCTCACATTCATTTTTAAAACGTTGTTAGGAATCACAACAATACAAACGAGCGATAAACATGTTCAAAACTTATGAGTAGTATTCTCATTTTTTTGAAAAAAAAACGCTTTCCTTCTACAAATAAATGTCTGATTTGATAAACCATTCATAAAAATGTAAACTTTCTTTGTTTAAATCATTATTTATGTTAAAATAGATTTTGTTTTAAAAAAAGGAATAATTTAGATGAATATTCAAACTGATCAATATTGATTATGAACAGTGATGAATAGTGGTTTGTAGTAGTAGAATCCAAACTACGCGTTTCGTCCCAGTTGATAGTACTTGCAGCCTAGAGAAGATGTTCATTCTAATATAAATTTTTAAAAAAAATTTAATGAATTTTATTTTGTAATAATTATAGATTTTAATTATTTTTAAAAATATGTTTGTTGATCGCTGTGAATTAAATAGATTTTTCAATTAGAGTTATGGAGATTGTTGTTTAGTAATGCAGTCATAAATCAATCATAGTTAGACCACCATTAGAAACCTGGAAGCCATGGACGTCCATTTCGTCTTGGTATAGGACTCTGCATTGGCAGTTCCGCCGTACCCACGACTCCTGCACCTCACAGGATTCGAACCCGGTACCTTCAGTCTTGTGCGCGAATGCCTCCTAGCCTCTGGACTAATGGGTCGATTGATCAAAGTTATTCATCAACACTGGAACACCTAGAACCACTGGACGACGGTTTCGTCGTGGTGTTGGACTCTGCATTGGCAGTTCCGTACCCATGATTCCTTCTAATAGCACAAATTGAAACCAGGAACTTTGGTCTTGCACACAAACGCCTAATCTTCTCTAGACCACTGGACTGATGAGTCCCATACTAGGACGAAACATGCATGTTCAGGTTTCTGAATGCTGGGCTAACAATGATTTGTGATTCATTATTCCAATAATAAACAAACAACTCTATAACAATAAAAAATAAATCATTCTCTGTTATTTTCTTCTGTTTGACATGTTTTCAGAGTTCACTAATAGACAATCCTCTGCTCCTGGCTGGATACATCAAAATCCTCTTCAATGAACAGCAAATCCACCTAACTTACATCACTTAGCCAACCTATTCAGTTTGACCTATTCTTTCTTTAATTATTCCCATATTCCCTTCTATATAATCAAGTCATCTGTTTTGTTTTAATGAATTCCTCGAACAGAACAGAACAGAATAGAAGAGAACAGCAAAATTCGTTCAATATTTTCAACAGTCAACACAATCATTGTATTTTCTCTATACATATATAATAATAATAATAATAAATTTTTTTCAACAATTTGTAATTAGAATTATGAATTATGCGCGAAAAAAACGATTAACAAATTAAAACAAACAAGAAACCGACACACTTTTGAAGAGGATTCAATTTTCTTCAAATTTTCTTTACCAATCAATCATATTTGTTTGTAACTTCGTCTCTCGCGATTCATTATTTTCCACAGTTTAAATTGACCGCCAAAAATCGATTAACTTCGATTAAAACAAATTCTAGTAAACTAAATGAATTCAATGCGTAAAAATAGCTCACCATTGAAACTAACGACAAGGTCAACGATTATTCAATGTTCAGTGTGTTATTTTTGTGATAAAAACATTAAAACAAACAAACGCACACACACATACATCAAAGCAATGATGATAGAATGAGACATAAAGACGTAATCAAGCCAAACGAAACAGTACAATAATGAAAAAAAAAATCTCAGTAATCTTGTGACTTTGTTTTTTTTTCTTTCTTTTAAAATTTTCACATTGTACAACGAACTGCTCAAAAAATTGTTTCTTCTTTTGTTTTTCTGTGGTTTTTGTTGAAATAAAACGTTGAACATTTGTGTGTGTGTGCGCGCGCGTTTGAATGTGTTATTGAACATCTACTTAAATGGTTTTATTGATAGGTCGGCAAACAATTCAAGGCGAAGTATCAATATGTGCGTAGGTCTGTGACCCCCAATGGAGTATAGGCTAGGCTGACTAGTATCCTCCAACCTACTCTGTGCCCTGAGCCTCGCTTTTCAGTTCTGTCCAATATCTGTTCATTCTTCTCGTGTCTGTCCCTAATGTGTTTTTAGGTCTTCCGCTTTTCCTCTGACTTTGAGGGTTCTAAATGAAGTCTTGTCTGGTGACGAAATTGGGTGTTTTTCTCAGTGTGTTTGTGTGTCCTGTTCACTTCCAACGCTTGTTCCTCCTCTGTAAATTGATTTGTACGCTTCCACAGTAGGTTGTTGCTGAAAGTATCTGGCCAGTGAATCCGAAGTATTTTGCGTAGATGTGTGTATATAATTAGGTTTACAAACTTACAAAACAAAGGATCAAGATGATGAGGAATTAGGAAGTTTAGAATTCGAGAGAATACAAAGAATGGATGCATCTGAGACATGACAAACGATTTTGAGCCATGTCATTTAGGGTCTCTAAACATCGATCATTATCATCTGGCGGATTCCAACCAGGTAGTCGACACCTACCGACATGACTCAGTTCACATGTCAGTGCCTTCATGGATTTGTGCCATGCTCTGGTTTGGCCTCTCCTAGCTATCTTTCAACCTATCCCTACATCGAAAAATATAGCTCTACGAGGCAGTTGGTGGTTGGGAATAGTTAGTTACACATGTCTCAACCACCTCAAATGATGAAGTCTCACAACTTCACCAGTCAATCTGCTATCCTTACCTATAGTATCCTAACAACATCATTGCTTACTCAGTGGTACTACGATATTCAAGCAATGCTTCAAGGAAACCTATGGTAGAATTCTAATAGCCTACGAATATCTCCTACTCTAACTGGTCATGTTTCCAATCCATATAGTAGGACAGAACAAACTGCTGCACAGTAAACTCATTGTTTATTTACCAGACGAATATCTCGCCTAAGCCATAAATGAAGCAAGTTAGCAATAGCCGATCTAGCCTTCTGTATCCGTACTGAGATTTCATATAACTTGCATTGATTCAAACAAATCCATTTATTTGATTAGAAAAACACATTCTCTGTGTTATCCGTACTATTCAGTATATGAAATTACTTCAGAGTTACGAAAAAAACACAGAAATCCGATTTGAAAAGTATGCAAACTGCGAATATACTGTGGTGTGAGCTACTTATGAGTAGTATATGACGTGAGTGTCAACGTAATGTCTAGCAGCAGAAGATGGGGGAACATCAAGAGAAAGGAAGAGTTAGAAGAACACAATGGAATTTGTATGAAACGCATGAACAGTGAGTGACAATGGATTGATGTTTTGTAACAGGAACAGCCCAGTTCGATATGATGAACTGATATTTTGCAAATTAACGATTTACGATATGATGTTTCGATTTTACTGAGTAACTCTGTAATTTTCATTAGATACAATCCGGTAGCCCCACCTATGTTCTCCCTTCACTACAATACTACTGTCAATCACATTGCATATCCAATGAAATCTGAAGGCGATGGGGGGCATTACGTGTCTCACATGGATGACAGTTATAGAAGAAAGTGAATTAAGCTTTATTGACAAGGTGAATTGATCAGATGTTTTCATTGTGACAAGAACAATGTTACTGATTAGACAAAAAATACTTTGTATTTATACAGGTGACATCTATTATATCGGGTGATATATCATGTGTTAGAGGATATAAGCGAGATTTACTTTGGTTACTCTATTACTAAGTAGACTGCAATAATTTGAGCTCAACCATACTATTTACATAATTACTTACTTACTTACTTATGCACTTACTTAATTACTTATGCATTTACTTACTTACTTACTTGATTACTTACTTACTTACTTACTTATGCACTTACTTACTTATGCACTCACTTACTTACTTACTTACTTACTTATATATCTGCTTATTTACTTACTCATGCAATTCCTTACATAATTACCTACCTACTTACATACTTACTTACTTACTTATGCACTTATATACTTACTTACTTCTTCACTTACTTACTTGCATACTTACTTTCTGACTTACTTAATTACTTACTTACTTATGCACTTACTTACTTACTTGTTTACTTACTTACTTACTTACTTACTTACTTACTTACTTACTTACTTACTTTCTTAGTTACTTACTTACTTACTTACTTACTTTTTTACTTACTTACTTACTTACTCACCTACTTACTGTTACATCTAACAGATCATAGGCTATTGACTAGTATTCTACAACCATCTCTGTCAACTATGTATATTACAACCGTTTATAACAGTATAGTGGTAGTTATTGATGATTATATAAGGATTCTTATTGTCAATAATTAGAACAGTCCGAATGAAAGTGAGCAGTTAGATCATCAATAGACTTTACTGTGTAATTTTTACATTGAAAATTCATACGAAATAAATTCCACTGATCAAGATAATTTTTGAATCGATAATCACACACTGAAATTGATTATGTCACTGTACAAACTAAATATAAATTGATAGTAGTGTGGTGTGAGCTACTTATAAGTAGTATATGACGTGAGTGTCAACGTAATGTCTGGCAGCAGAAGATGGGGGAACATCAAGAAAGGAAGAGTTAGAAGAACACAATGGAATTTGTATGAAACACATGAACAGTGAGTGACGATGGATTGATGTTTTGCAACAGGAACAGACAGTTCAGTTCGATATGATGAACTGATATTTTGCAAATTAATGATTTACGATATGGTTTTCCTATTTTACTGAGTAACTCTGTAATTTTCGTTGAATACAATCCGGCTGCCCCACCTGTGTTCTCGTTCACTACAGTAGGAACACAGGTGTATAGTCGTGGGTGCGCACTGTGCTGATGAATTCCATACTGCTGGATGAAACTGCCGCCAAATACTTTCAGGTATCTCTAATGGCGGTCAAACAACGATGATCGCTTCATGATTTCAATGAAATTGATCGTGAGTTAACGAAATCGATTTAGTGTTCTGCATCTCAAAGAATTTTTACTTTTTGCAAAATTTCTCTTATTCAGTAAGTTAACTTATTGTTAAGTTACACATTTTTAAAACCATAAATCGATCAATGTTAGACCAAAATTAGAAAACTGGAAGCGCTGGACGGCCGTGTTAGGGATGTTAGATCCCCAGAAGTAGCTTGATAAATATCTTTAGTTAGGATTTATTCCATGGAACGATCAGTTGGCCTTGAGATTACATTTCCCACCAGGAAAATCCTTGAGTGTCATTGATTGATGTGTTATTTTAGTGTGCTATTTTGTGACTCTCCTTAAGGACGTCTCTATGGAGGAGTATAAATAAACGCAATTTGAGTGCTTGGATTCATTGTGTGCTGGCTGAGTGTTTGTAGAATACAATTTCTACACTATATCAAGACTTCTTGCTGATTCAGTTTGGTCAAGGGATCATAGTAGCCTACGTGGACACTGGTTCATTGTTTCGTTCTCGTTATTCGACTAAGGTGAACTCGTAATAGTTTTAAGCATACCTAGAGATGAGTGTAACAGGCCGTTTCGTCCAATCTTCACAACCCCGTAATGCAAATTACCTGTGCTCACTAGTGACTAGCATCGTGAGGAATCTTCTCCGAGTTATAATGGGAAGTCGTGACTAGTGAAGTTCAACCTGTTCGGGTGTAGACAGTAACTACCGAAGACTGTGTATGAGGTTGTGCAACTCCGTAAATTGATCAAGTCAGACATTAACACTGTTCATGAGTACGCACTGCTGATAAGTCCCATATCAGGAGGAAATGACCGTCCAGTGGTGCTTCCACATTTCTTCTAATGGTGGTCTAACATTGATCGATTCATGATTTCAGAAATATTGTTTTCAATTCGATCGTCATCAATCAGGCTGTTTTACTCTCTAATATATATGAATATTTATGTATGAAAATGTTAAACCAATCAAGGCAATTTATGAGTCAATAATCACAAACTGAAATGAAATAGATTACGTCACTACACATAATCGGCAAAAGTACATCATTTCTCAACAGAGATCGATCCCGTCTCCTACAGGCATACCAGAAGCCAATTTGTGTTCAGAAGAAATAAGTCGTGACATCCCTATCTCTTCCGTGGCCGGATATGACTTAACCAACATTTAAAAAGAAATTTTCTTACAACGTAATGGTTTTACTGTTTTGTAATGATTATACAAGTTTGACCTTTTGTCAGTACACCTCTGTCTTCCTACTGTTATCAACTTGTACTCTTGCCCATTTTGTATGTGTAGTGACGTATTCTCTATTTCATTTCATTGTGATTATTGACTCATAAATT